TTGCATTGCATTTTCGTTTGGAATGCACCTGCGATCTAATATATTCTGTTGACCGAAAGCCATCTCTCGTAAAAAGGTCTCCTAAATATACTAGACCACTGTCATACCAGCCTTTATAAAAGAGCGACTGATTATCATACACCACATGTTTGTTGTGCCAAATAATCTGATCTGAAACTTTAACTGGTTCATGTATAGATATACAAACATCTTTCACTGTAGTGCAGTATCTAATCATTTCCCATGCCTTTAAGATTTCTACGTAAAATGACGGAATTTTCTTTTGAACTAGAATATCATTAAGTGTGGTTATATTATAAGAGCAGTTCAGCAGTAGCTTGATGCTTCCCAATAAGTTGAACCAGTAAGAAAAAAATGTTTTCCACGCTCCATTACTCTCATTGAAAAATCTACCTAACCATTTCAGTCGGAAGCTGAACAATTGCCTTTGTATGTCAAGTATTTTTATACCACCTTTACTGTAGTCTTCCATAAGAGAAACCCTTTTGATTTTTTCTGTTTGTGTGTGAAGTGTTAATGCCCCACTTTACTACTTGTACGGTAGCTACTTGCTCCCTCTATATAGAAAACTTCCCCAATCTGTGCCTGTTGATCCCCCATGATCCTCTTTTTCTTATGTTAATTGAAAACTGAATTGATGAGATAGCCTCCGGTCAGTGACCTCGCTGGGTTGTCTAATCCTCTTTGGCTGAACTAGTACAGATGGCCTTTAAAGCACATCCGTGGTCGACCCTCTGAATGAAGAAATGACTTCTGATGAGGCAGAGAAGGCATGGATACCTGCAAAATTGAAAGGACAAAATAAACAATATCCTAAACAATATTCTTAATTACAACTTGTTCATTTTTTTCTTGGAGGGGGGGGGGGGGGTGAGGTAATACTATAGAAAAGGATACAATGTATTGTACACATAATCAGGAATTATTCAATCCTGTGTCACTAAAACAAAAACGATGAGGTTCCACTTGACAACAAACTAATCAAGTTGCATCCAGATATTAAAAACATTAATTGTGATTTCTGAACTGAAATTTAAAAGCACACGAGCTTGTTTGAATTAATTACTTAATGCGAGTTGTTACTATATTACCAAATGAACATTCTTAACATTTCACATGTTGGCCAAATACAAAAAAGGAAACAAGATTGATTAAGAAAAATTGAAGAATAAACAAATGTTTTCATATAAAGAAATAATCTACCTACCCTATAGTCTATCTCCAAGAATCAACTGTTATTCATATGCCCTAGCATCAAGCTGTCAATTCAGTGCACAAAAGATCCTGGCGTCATGGCTGCTACTAGTCCAGGCCACCTTGCAACGGTACTAATTATTTTCCCAGCATAATCACAGACAACCTGTTAATATGAAATAACATGTTGGCATTCATTAGTTATGAAAGCTCACTCATTTCACACTTCAGATAGGCCGTGAAATGTATAAATATCACTTGTTATTCATGGTAATTAATGCAAATGTAGTTGAATATGTGATAATTGCTTTTCGATATCTATTTATACAACAAAAATTGGAAGAAAATGCTAATTACCCTATATTTATTGACTGGTGAAGTATTTCTTCATTTTTAACCTATGTTTTTCATTGTTTATATTGTAACAATGTAAACAAAAATAATATCACTTTTAACAAAACATTTCGAGCCTAAAACAACAACAAATGCTTTGTGTGTGTGTGTATTGGGGTGGGGGGGGGGAGAGGATACCCACTCTCTCATCTTTTTATGGTAAATGAACCTGTTTGTTTTTCTATAGTTTAAAATATATGGTGGTAATTGCCATTGATCAATTTACATGCTTCTCTTTGTGTTTTTTTCTTTCATTGATCAATGGCAAAAACAGTGGCCCAATTGCCATGGCCATCAAAAAAATATCAGAAATCTAGAGGTCATATCCGTATTGCCAATAGAAGGATGGAACAAGTTTTGATTTTTCAAATTTCCCTTTCGTTAAAAAGTTATTAACGAGTGTTAGGATTTTTAAGTTTAACTATCCATTGGATATTCTTTACTGTGTACAAATTAAAGGCAGTGTAATGAGCACCAGTACGAGAATATTACTTTAATATCTATTTGGCCACTAGAAATCTTGCATTGGTTCACCAATGAATTAGCATGGATGTACAACACACAAGACTGGAGAGTGTATATATCTAATGTGAAAATTTTGCAAGGTACAAAAAAAAGGTCTAAAGGGAAAGCCGTGCTGGATCCAGTCATGATGTAATCATTTATTCTCACCTGAACATCGATGGAGTACCTGTTCTTCCTATTGAAGTAGTACCTGGCTCTTGCCCCACCAGGGCTCCTGATGTAAACATGTGTCCCATCAACAGCAACTCCTGGAAATCTGCAGTACTGGAAAAACTGCTTCTGAATAGTAGTCACTTTTTGCCTTGTTGTAACCTGTAGGAAACTTCATGACTTGTCCCTTTCTTCTGACAACAGCTTCGGAAACATCTCTCACTACTCTCCATTCGGCAAATAGATGAATGTGACACGGCATGCCACCTCCTCACCGTGCATCCTTTAGATCGAATTACCCTTAAAAAAACAAAAAAAAGCATTCAAATAAATCATTTTTTTTTGCTGGTTTATGCTATTATATTTTTACATCCCCAACTGTCACTGTCACTTTAAAAAAAAAAAAATCCTGATTTCTAGATGTGGTGTGAATCAATTTAACGTAAAAGACAAAATTGTCTATGCCTTTTCTAATTTCCTTTACGGCTTCACCTTTTGTGAAATTTAAGCAACAAATCACAGACTTGTTTCCAACACATAATCTGAATAATATCCTCATGTATTAAAGCCAAATAACAGTATTGGGAAATGCCCCACACACAAATTATGAAAATTAATGCTTTCATCACCTACCATGTAAAATAATAAATATCATAACTAATCTATCAATGTATCGAATATGACAGAAAATGCTTAGAAATTGAATAAATTTATGTAAATGCACGTGTATTGCATTGGGGGCTTGCACGGTCGTAGGCAGACCTGCGAAGCGGGGCAAACGAACAGTGAATTTAGGCGGTCAACATGAATTAAAATAATTCTGCATTTTAATAACGACACTAGGGTTGGATTTTACAACAGAAGCCCTTTTTTTGTATAGCTATGTTAACAATATTCATCAAGTAGTTTGGCCATGTTTTCGGCAACTTTCCCAATACAGAATTTGAATTCAAAGTAGCCTACCTCAATCTAAAACAAAAGGCTCATCATCCAGCGGGTTTTCCCAATCTCAGACTCAGAGGCCTCTGCCCGGTTGTGCTGCTATATATTGCTTCAGCTCCTCCTCCAGGTACACCAGCTCATTATGCTGAATCAGCTGCATTTCTACCATCTTTACTAGAGTGAAGATAAAATTAAACAAATGTTTAAACAATGTTTTTAAATTAAAGAAATGTTATTACTTGTGCTTGTGACTTTGTGGGTGATCCTTGCTATGGAGACTAAGCCCGTTAATTAAGACAATTAGAACCAGATCTAAATTTAATAAAACTAAGCTTTGCTTGTCATGACTCATACTAGATCTAGTCATAGACAGAAATAACCGTCTGAGTGATATGGGTCATTTCTTTAATAAAAATAATAAAACTGACATTTGTTGACATTCTATAATCGGAGGTCTAGTGGAGCCAGACGTAGTCTCAGTGAACAACCGGCGATATAGAGAGACTGAAGCTTTTGGTCCATGATGTCCATCACTTGACTTGGACACTGGTACCTAAATAAATAGAAATTGAAGTGGCATCAGCAATGCCAATGTTCCCCAAAATGAATCACACTGACAAGCATAGACCAAAAGCTTCAGTCTCTCTATATTGCCAGTTGTTCACTGAGACTATGTCTGGCTCCATACTAGACCTCCGATTATAGAATGTCAACAAATGTCAGTTTTATTATTTTTATTAAAGAAATGACCGATATCAGACGGTTATTTCTGTTTATGAGTCATGACAAGCAAAGCTTTTATTTTATTAAATTTAGATCTGGTTCTAATTGTCTTAATTAACTGGCTTAGTCTCCAAAGCCAGGATCACCCACAAAGTCACAACAACAAAAATAACATTTCTTTATTTTAAAAACATTGTTTAAACATTTGTTTCATTTTATCTTCACTTTAGTAAAGATGGTAGAAATGCAGCTGATTCAGCATTATGAGCTGGTGTACCTGGAGGAGGAGCTATAGCAGCACAACTGGGCAGAGGCCTCTGAGATTGGGAAAACCCGCTGGATGATGAGCCTTTTGTTTTAGATTGAGGTACTTTGAATTCAAATTCTGTATTGGGAAAGTTGCCGAAAACATGGCCAAACTACTTGATGAATATTGTTAACATAGCTATAAAAAAGGGCTTCTGTTGTAAAATCCAACCCTAGTGTCGTTATTAAAATCCAGAAATATTTCAATTCATGTGGACCGCCTAAATTCACTGTTCGTTTGCCCCGCTCCGCTGGTCTGCCTACGACCGTGCAAGCCCCTAATGCCATGCACATGTGCGTTTACATCAATTTATTCAATTTCTAAGCATTTTCTGTCATATTCCATACATTGAAAGATTAGTTATGATATTTATTATTTTACATGGTAGGTGATGAAAGCATTAATTTTCATAATTTGTGTGTGGGGCATTTCCCAATACTGTTATTTGGCTTTAATACATGAGGATATTATTCAGATTATGTGTTGGAAACAAGTCTGTGATTTGTTGCTTAAATTTCACAAAAGGTGAAGCCGTAAAGGAAATTAGAAAAGGCATAGACAATTTTGTCTTTTACGTTAAATTGATTCACACCACATCTAGAAATCAGGATTTTTTTTTTTTTAAAGTGACAGTGACAGTTGGGGATGTAAAAATATAATAGCATAAACCAGCAAAAAAAAATGATTTATTTGAATGCTTTTTTTTTGTTTTTTTAAGGGTAATTCGATCTAAAGGATGCACGGTGAGGAGGTGGCATGCCGTGTCATATTCATCTGTTTGCCGAATGGAGAGTAGTGAGAGATGTTTCCGAAGCTGTTGTCAGAAGAAAGGGACAAGTCATGAAGTTTCCTACAGGTTACAACAAGGCAAAAAGTGACTACTATTCAGAAGCAGTTTTTCCAGTACTGCAGATTTCCAGGAGTTGCTGTTGATGGGACACATGTTTACATCAGGAGCCCTGGTGGGGCAAGAGCCAGGTACTACTTCAATAGGAAGAACAGGTACTCCATCGATGTTCAGGTGAGAATAAATGATTACATCATGACTGGATCCAGCACGGCTTTCCCTTTAGACCTTTTTTTTGTACCTTGCAAAATTTTCACATTAGATATATACACTCTCCAGTCTTGTGTGTTGTACATCCATGCTAATTCATTGGTGAACCAATGCAAGATTTCTAGTGGCCAAATAGATATTAAAGTAATATTCTCGTACTGGTGCTCATTACACTGCCTTTAATTTGTACACAGTAAAGAATATCCAATGGATAGTTAAACTTAAAAATCCTAACACTCGTTAATAACTTTTTAACGAAAGGGAAATTTGAAAAATCAAAACTTGTTCCATCCTTCTATTGGCAATACGGATATGACCTCTAGATTTCTGATATTTTTTTGATGGCCATGGCAATTGGGCCACTGTTTTTGCCATTGATCAATGAAAGAAAAAAACACAAAGAGAAGCATGTAAATTGATCAATGGCAATTACCACCATATATTTTAAACTATAGAAAAACAAACAGGTTCATTTACCATAAAAAGATGAGAGAGTGGGTATCCTCTCCCCCCCCCCCCCACCCCAATACACACACACACAAAGCATTTGTTGTTGTTTTAGGCTCGAAATGTTTTGTTAAAAGTGATATTATTTTTGTTTACATTGTTACAATATAAACAATGAAAAACATAGGTTAAAAATGAAGAAATACTTCACCAGTCAATAAATATAGGGTAATTAGCATTTTCTTCCAATTTTTGTTGTATAAATAGATATCGAAAAGCAATTATCACATATTCAACTACATTTGCATTAATTACCATGAATAACAAGTGATATTTATACATTTCACGGCCTATCTGAAGTGTGAAATGAGTGAGTTTTCATAACTAATGAATGCCAACATGTTATTTCATATTAACAGGTTGTCTGTGATTATGCTGGGAAAATAATTAGTACCGTTGCAAGGTGGCCTGGACTAGTAGCAGCCATGACGCCAGGATCTTTTGTGCACTGAATTGACAGCTTGATGCTAGGGCATATGAATAACAGTTGATTCTTGGAGATAGACTATAGGGTAGGTAGATTATTTCTTTATATGAAAACATTTGTTTATTCTTCAATTTTTCTTAATCAATCTTGTTTCCTTTTTTTGTATTTGGCCAACATGTGACATGTTAAGAATGTTCATTTGGTAATATAGTAACAACTCGCATTAAGTAATTAATTCAAACAAGCTCATGTGCTTTTAAATTTCAGTTCAGAAATCACAATTAATGTTTTTAATATCTGGATGCAACTTGATTAGTTTGTTGTCAAGTGGAACCTCATCGTTTTTGTTTTAGTGACACAGGATTGAATAATTCCTGATTATGTGTACAATACATTGTATCCTTTTCTATAGTATTACCTCACCCCCCCCCCCCCCCCTCCAAGAAAAAAATGAACAAGTTGTAATTAAGAATATTGTTTAGGATATTGTTTATTTTGTCCTTTCAGTTTTGCAGGTATCCATGCCTTCTCTGCCTCATCAGAAGTCATTTCTTCATTCAGAGGGTCGACCACGGATGTGCTTTAAAGGCCATCTGTACTAGTTCAGCCAAAGAGGATTAGACAACCCAGCGAGGTCACTGACGGGAGGCTATCTCATCAATTCAGTTCTCAATTAACATAAGAAAAAGAGGATCATGGGGGATTAACAGGCACAGATTGGGGAAGTTTTCTATATAGAGGGAGCAAGTAGCTACAAGTAGTACAGTGGGGCTTTAACACTTCGCACACAAAAAAGGGAGATGTGTGATTGAGCGCATATTTATTAAATGCAAGGATGAGGACGTTCCATGCCTCATCAATCTAAGAGAGAAGGTCGACACTTCTTAATTATTTTTATGCTTTCCTGTTGCCCGTATTGGGGAAATTCACGTTGTGCAAATATAGCATTGATTTGGCCAAGTATAGCCTAAAACAGCCAACACTGGAGCTTACTAACAAGCATTTATTGCTTTCTTAGCTGTCAATTAAAATAACCACCACTATCTATCTATTTAGTGAGCTATACATTATTTAATTAAGGATTCCACAAAATTTTTCAATGTATACGGTAATAAGTTATAAAATACAAATTTAACTCGATTGCAACTGGAATTACCTCAAAATGTATTTCAAAATACGGCCCCTCCCTGGTGTTTCCACATTACTTCGTAGTTATGCAGCATTACATCAAGAACCTGGGTGTTGAACTGTTGATTATTTATGAATATTTTTGATGTTATGTTTAGTTGATAAGTATTTGTTGTCACTCTGACGGTATTTGTAATTAAGTGTTCTCTATAGATTAAATGCACCCGATTTAACTATAATTAGCATTGTATACACTGCTGAGTTATATAAATTATTTGGTTGTCAGCTAGGGGAGAGTATTCGAACAAATATTATTTACTGTACTAAGCGAAGTCAGAATTAGAGAACTTTTATGTGCAATTTGAATTTTCGTCACCCATTTTGTTGTATTTCTGATTTTCTTTCTGCTAATAGCGCTATAGTGAGACTTTTAATTGGCCTTCCAGAGCCTCTCTTAACCTCTAGTGGGCTATATTTCATATAAGCATGCTACAAAATTTACAAATGTGAACTGCATTGTTTGAACAAACGGTAGATTACTATTGTGTTGTATGCTCAATTATTTATGTAAAACATGAAAATACAAATACAATATTCTTGCTTTCATATATTTACAAGGATAACTGAAATAGATTTGTGTCAGATTATCTCTCTCTCTCTTTCTCCCTTTTTTGGGGGGGGGGGATGCAGATGTGTGTGTTTGCAGTTTGCATGGTTTTGCATTATGTGTTTCATTGCAAAAAAGAAGAAGAAGAGAGAGAGAGGGGACAAAGAAAAAAATAATAGAGAGAGAAAGGGAGGGAGAGAGAGAAAGATGAATAGAGAGAGAGAGGGGAGAAAGAAAAATAATTAATAGAGAGAAAAGGAGAGAGAGAGAGAACAAAAATGGGTATAGAAAGAGAAAGGAGGGACGGGGACAGAGAAAGAGACAGGGAGGGCGAGAGAGAAAGATGAATAGAGAGAGAGAGGGGAGAAAGAAAAAGAATTAATAGAGAGAGAAAAGGAGAGGGAGAGAGAACAAAAATGGGTAGAAAGAGAGAGGAGGGACGGGGACAGAGAAAGAGACAGGGAGGGAGAGAGAAAGAAAAGATGGCCATAGAGGAATTTTTTTTAAAATTAATATTATATGGAAACAAATCATTTACCAGTTACAATTTTGATGTGAAAAAAATAGCCAGTTGGGGAAACAAACGGGGAACTAGTTAAAATAATAATTGATTGACCATTCTAACAAAATAAATATATAGATCTATAGTAATTAACAATTGCAATCAAATGAATTAATATATTAATCACAATAAAAACTTAATTCATATTAAATCATTATTATTATTATTATTATTATTATTATTATTATTATTAGGTGATTTTATTGATAAGAATTTGTAACCCCCAAAACAATAAGACTCTTACAGTTAATTTAAAAGAGCCCTTGACAACCTTAGATGTATTTATCTAACGAAGGTTTTCAGGTGCCGATGTCAATTAGTTCTGGGTCAGATTGAGTGCTTCACCAGCACCACACAAATGTGAGTACGTGGGGCACTTTTTGCATCGGCGCGCCAGTTTGGTTCGATTAATTCATGAAAATGCAATTCAAAAGTTTATTTCAGAGATGTTCTAACCATCATCTTTTCAAGATTGCTCATTAAGATGTCCGGATCGTACTAAGAATGCTTTAACAGTTTTTTTCAATTCTTAACATTTAAACCCTAGCCCATAAAAATTATGTTAGAAACCCTATGGCTGAGACTAGTTTTACAAACCTTGGTCTGAGGTTTGGGAATTACAGACCAAGGTTTATACAAACCTTCCTTTGTGGAATGGGTTTGAGGACAAACCAGGTTTGAGCTCAGACCAAGGTTTGTACAAAGCTTGGTCTGATCAAACCGGGTTTGTCCTCAGACCTCCGTTGTGAATTCGGGCCATTATGTCTAAGGTATAGCGTTGGAGCTAAGATTACGTTTGAGTGTTCGTGTCTTCTTAGATCAAGATTTATGTACAGTTTCCTAATTAAATTAAATTAAATTAAGTTCTTCCATCGCACGATGGCTGCGATGGCCGTCTCATTTACAAGGGTCAGGTCTTCATCTGTGCAACCCGTTCCGCCGCACTGCAAGATGTGATACATCGTCTGAGTCTGGTTCCGCAGTCGCAGAGAGCATCTTCTTCATGGGCATAGCCCCCATCTTGCCATGCTGGCCTTACACCGCCCCATTCTCGTCAACGTTCGATTTAGGCTTATAGATGTATAAGATGATTTCTAAGATTAGGTATATAGTTGGGTTCAGGTTTGAATCTTGGAGATCGGTTTAATAGTTTAGGAAACTGACGCGAAACAATTGTCATAGGGACAAATGATTTACTACCAGGTCATATACCATGAATAACATGTTTACCCCTCGTTGGGACCATGTTTTTCATCAACATGTATACGATGGCGATACATTTCCTCATAGAAGGGCATAGCAGCTTCCGCTAATTCAATTACGTCATCAGTCAGCTGGTTACGTGTTTGTGGTGCCTTCGGAGGAGTAAAACAAGTGCTCCTTAGAACACTAGCATGAAAAATGTCAAACGAGGCCTGTCCTGCCCAGTCACTACCCCAATTCCAAGATCCCATTTCTTTAACATCCGGATTCCATGATAGCATAGATTCATCGAAGGGCAGTCCCACCGCCTCGCACCATCGAGAAAGGACACGACGTGGGTCTGCAAGCAGGTCCGTCGAGTCAAGAATAACTGCCTTCGGATCGATCCCCTTGCGGATATACGACCAGAGATCGCGCATTGTCTTGAAGTAGTTTGCGTGCGACCCCAGCTCGTTATGGTTCCGGACGTCGAAGCTAGCTTCGTCTTTTTCTTCCGGCAGTAACCTGTTAATCGCTTTGAAATGGTTGTAATACATCTTGTGAAGGCCCGGGAATACCAGGTCAGGGTTTCGGATGAGAAAGGAGTGTCTGAAGCCGCTAGGGATATACTGAATCGCGTCTTTACCAAACATCCCATAAGCCATATCCTTAACAAAGACGTGCTTTGCAGTTATTCCTTCGAGAGTCTTCTTTATCTTGGAGTACCTGTAGCGACAAAATGAATACAATTATAAATAAGGATAACAAATAATGATAATAATAACGATAATACTAATAATAACAACATCAACAACAATCCGTTCTTGTTAAGCGCAAGTCCCTGTGTGGTTCCATCGTGTTTCGGTATAATATCTCTAGCCTTATGCTATGGTCACGATAAGAATAATATGATATGATATAAACTGTCTCTTATATAGCGCATAATCAATTAAAACTACTCTATGCGCTTAACATACAGCTCTTCAAGATTACTTAACTACGATACAAACAAAATATGTCATTAGATTCCGCTTAAATGATTCTGTAGATGTACACGACCGTAGGTGTGCTGGCAAACACAACTCGCCGTGTGTCCTTTTGCGCACGGGATTTAGGCCGACTTCTACGATTTGTACGTCCTTGTTACGATCATTCGTAGAATCGTAGGTGCCTTGTACCCTCCTCACAAACATACTTTCCCCTAAAGGTACTATGTCCCTTTTGCAGCCAACATCACATTATGTAGAACTTTGCAGGAATTGTGAATATGTCATGTATGTCCTATCTGTGAAATTTAAAATTAGCACTAAGCAGTGTTCTAGTATTCAAGTTATGCTAGGAAACCTGTTTACTTTCTGACATTTTTTTCTTTTTTGGTAACAAAATACATAAAGTGAGCTGTAACAGGTACATGAGCATTTGTCTACATCAATAACCCACTACTTGTAATGCCCAAAATTTAACTGATTGAATATTTGGGTAGCACAAAACGTACGACCATTCGGTACTAGGGTCTGAAAATCAGACGATAACTTAAGTGATTGCAACCCCTTAAGTCGATTCGACAACTAATGGTCGTTTTTTTTCCACAAAAAGCCATTTTCAAACCCTTTCGTTTTGAAGGAAGTTCTATATAAATAAGTGTTGTCTATCAAATGCCGTTGAAATTTCACCTTTTCATTTTTTGATCTGCAAATGGGACAAAGTAACTTTCTCCGGCCTCTGAATGACTGGAGCGAAGATAGTATCTTCGCTCCAGTATCATATCATCCTGGTACAATCAATAGCTAGAGTCCTCTTCAGTGAAGGGGTTAATCCTTTTTGTCCAGATGGATTCGTTTACCTTTTCTGACCAGAAGTGTGTTTCAAAATGTATAATGTGGGTTTCATCCCATGGATTGTAGTGTTCAGTATTAATGGCGTGTTCCTCTACATGCTGGATGAGATAGAATGCTCAACCCGTTGGCCCTATTTTGCTCTTTTAAAAGCCCGTTTAGACGTTGCATAGGCCTAATCCTTCACTTGCCATCCTACGATCGAAAAAATCGTATCCGGCAAGCCGCTTCAAGGCGGGGTCATGTGACTTTGGTCTACAGTAATCTGGATTTATAAAGCGTGTAATGCGAAATACCGTCTTTAAGCTCTTTGCAGATGTTATAATGCACCGGCCATCACCACTCTTCGCTAATCATGCTAAATTTACGTTCGTTGTTTTTGCTATCGTGAACAATTTCATTTGAATGGCTCTCTTTCAGACTTGATCTCCTAAAAAGAATTTGTTGATACGTACGGCGACGTCTCAAGACACCCTGCCACATTGGTCGACTTTCTCATAAATCTTTGTATAAACTTGATCACCAGGAAAATATTTCGTGTGTATTGCTCTCTTAAAAACATGGGCCTATAAAAATGAATTTTGATACTTACGACAGCGTCTCGGGAAAGAAGCGTCTACCCATCGCCGTACTAACATGTCCGGCGACTTTCTCGTAAAGCTTTTCGTTGCCATCATACTCTTTGGGGAGTGCAACTCCTTCTTCCACTTTAGCGTTGAGTTCGGCGATATGGGCAAAACCGTAAGGTTCCATCCACATTTCGACGTCGGGTATGCGACTTATTGAAAGGGAGAACGCAGTTGACGAACCTCGTGGTATGGTCCACAAGATGACTCGACTGGGCTCTTCGGACATCATGCAGTTCAGCGTTCACAATATCTGTGATGTTATTCTGAAGATGAAATGACAGGGCTTTACCACAGAACTCTAAAATACGTAGAAGGATCATAGGAAGACTGAAAACATGGATAATATGACTTTTCCAGGGTTTTCCACGACGAGGGATTCATTATGTGACACAAGTTGTTATGTTTAAGTAATGCAATTGGCTTAATATATAATCATTGTACTAATAAGCCTAATTAGCATATTTGTAGAATATCAATTATTTGGGACTCTATTTAGCTCCACAAATTGTGTGTCCAGTGTACAGTAGGGGTTATAAGGCAATGTTGTCGAACCTCATGAAATGTCTCGGAAATGACGGGGTCATCATACGCATTGATGGTTAGGCTTCAGTCATTGGATTTAGAGAGACTGTCGGAAGCACACTGAAGATGGTTAAAGCAGATGATAATGATGGAATTGATGATGTGGTGAGACAGGTACGTACAGGGATGTTGAATACAACAGTGCAAACTATGATCTGTCTATGTTTACCAAAGCCAGAACCATTGAGAGTACAAGCCCGACGTTGCACAAGCTTGTGGCAGAATTCCTGGAAAAGTCATGTTATCCATGTTTTCAGGCTTCCTGGATTAAGATTAGCAACATTATTACATACTATGCTAATTAGATGATTATGCTAATTAGGCTAATTATACTACATATACATGAATATCTTCTCATGAATTAATGATTAGTCTTTCAAAAGTGATTTACAATTTTGCATTGCACCATTTTTAGGCTTTATAGATAAACAATGACAATGAAGTCCATGTACATATGCTAATTGGCTCATTATGCTATTTAAGACAATTGCATTACTTTAAAATAAATAATGGTGACATAAACGAATTCCTCGTCATGGAAAATCCTTGAAAAGTCACATTATCCATGTTTTCAGGCTTCCTGGATTGAGATTAGCAACATTACATATTGCACATATATGCTAATTCGATTATTATGCTAATTAGGCTAATTATACTACATATACATGAATTTCTTCTCATGAATTAATGATTAGTCTTTTAAAAGTGATTTACAATGTTGCATTGCACCATTTGTAGGCTTTATAGAAAAACAATGACAACGAAGTCCATACATTGTACATAATTATGCTAATTATGCTATTTAAGACAATTGCATTACTTGGAATCAAAAACTGGTGTCATAAATGAATTCCTTGTCATAGAGAACCCTTAAAAAGTCGTATTATCCATGTTTTCAGGCTTCCTGGATTGAGATTAGCAACATTATTGCATATTGCACATATGCTAATTAAATGATTATGCTAATATGGCTATTAAAACAGTTGCCCACGATTGCAAAGCTGGCAACCAAGGTGAATTTACTTCAATACCCATCTAGAACACAAATCAACAAAAAAACTTGTACTTATCAACTTGTCCAGGTCATGTACATGGTATATGGGTACCGTCTACTGGACTACAGAGACTTGATAGAATAGGACTAAAATCAAGCCGGCGAAACTCTTGTAATTTATTCAACGCATTTGTGAGTTCTAAAGCGTAACAATGGGATGTGTAACATTCTACTTGGCTTTAAGGTTACATGCTCCACACCGCGCTTCCACTGCGGGGACTTTCGGAAGCCAGGCACCATTTTTACATTTATTACAACGTATCAAATTACCTGCAAAATTTCAGTGTAAATCAAAAACTTTATATGGGAATTGTATTGGGAATAGTGCGTCAAACACATTTCCAAATTTAGAACTCCGTCCTCCCTATAATTTGTGTGCCAGAGTTGGTAAAAGAAAAAATACATCCTGACAAAAACTCAATATTTTAGGATATTGCGCTAATTTGTGCATGTTTTAATGTCCCGTTATTTGATAAATGATTTACAGTCTTCAATAACATTAAGTTTGCTAATGCGTGTTTTTGCGTGTTTTTTGTATTTTGAAGTTTAAAAAGGATGAAATTACACAAGTTTTTGTTCGCTTGTTCTACTCTTTACAGATTCAACAATGGATGAGAAATCATTGAAAGGGACAGCGAACAGTTGCTGTTATACCATTTTCTGATGTTAGAATTCTAAATCCTGAAATTCATTCGCTCTTTTATCTCACCACCTGGTCAGCAGTTGCAGATTAGCGCATAACTTTTCGGCGGCTTGGAGCATGGGGTCAAAGGAGAGCGGCTTGATTCCAGTCCTTCTCTATCACGTCCCTGCAAGCACTATGCCGTTTTGTACTGCATTTAACTGCATCAATCGTCGGAAGAAATGATGCGGAAAGACTTTCTATAGGTAAGTTTAATAGACCGATGCAGTAATGAATTATTGGAGTTTAATGAGTCTATCAGTGATGTTTAAAGATAGTATGTAGTCCCATGTATCCATTTTAACGTTTTATTTTAATGGAACAACTAATGAAGTTAATCGCACACAGACAGTTACAAACAAAATAAGATTATTTCAGCACAGCCTATAGATCTAGGCTATATTATAGACTAGACCAGGACCCTGTCTTACATTTAGTAATATTAGTGAATTTGGATTTTGATTAATCAATTGATTTGGATTAATCGCAACGACGCAAGTCCTCCAAATAATCGCAAGTTTGCAGTCTATCTCTCTATTTCTCTCTCTTGTCATTTTAGGCTATCAAACAGCGCAAGGCTCCATTCCCATGGGTGTCTGTTCAACCACAATCCAAGCCTCAATAGATAAATGACTCCAACTTTCGCTCTGGAGAGTGTTCAAGTAAGGAGCCGGCATATCGAATGCAGTACATCGGTCAGACCCAAACCATTTGAAGACATCAGTGTGTACATGCTGAATGCAGTCCCCCAAACTCCTCGAAAGAGATGTCGTGCAGAACAAGATTATACATAGTTTGTATTTGTAATTTAATTTTTAAACTACAAATACAAACTCTGTTAACAGAACTGACTGTCATATGCCATTGAACAGTGAATTTTCAATCCTAATCGCAAGCTCATTCAAAAGGTATTTTCTCATCCATGAATTATGTAAATCTCCAAGCTTGAGGTTGAGGATACAGTTACAGTAGGATATGATAAGTACTTGTATTTTTTTGTTGAATTCATTTTATTAATGTTCTAGAGTAATTCAGTGATATTTTTCAGCCTGTTTATCACAATGTCTTATTTAAAGATACAACGCAACTTTTTGGTGGTGACTTTTTCAATATTTAGTCCAATGTGTTAGGTATTATAATCTTCAGGTTTTTGGCATGAGTGGATGCTTGTAATGTGTTGATTCTGGCATTTTTCTGTCATTTTGTTTTGTTATAGAAGAAGTTCATGCTATGTTTCATACAATGTACAATTTTTTTTAAATTATTATTGATACATGTTGTTTACATACTTTCGTCACTGAAATGATTTATAAGTCTTAGGCAATTTACTTAACTTGCCTTTGCCATAATAATTCACATACATATATGTACCCTAAGATTTCTATATATTTGTTATATTGTACAGTTTTACTAGTGAAGATTGATATGAGGTGTGCTCAATTTAGTGTAATGCAATATCGTTTTCAAGAAAACTGTTGAATGTCATGATTAGGACATATCTGTTTTATTTAGGATGCATATTTTCTAACTAAATTTTTGTTTATCTTCAAAGTACATTATGTCCAATGAAGTGTAGCCAGTACCAGGTCAATTTTATTGTTCATCCCATCAACTTTGATATCGATGTGTTAACTGCCAAATAGTCTTTCCAGTTCAAATTTGCTGTTAAGTCTCAATCGCCCAGAAAAATGGAAATTGATATGTGTACCGGTAAAGAAAAGTTTGCAGCAGCATTTTCTTTTATTTTGTAAATGAAATCTAAATACAGATAATTAATTGGTTGCTCATGTATGTAGACTGAAACGGTATGAGTTGAGTTTCGGTGGTAATATGCTTGACTTGCCTTTGTTGTGCCAATTCATGCCACAGTTACCTGTGGAATTTTATGAAGAGATGTTTGCAGAAACTTATTTGTACGATGATCATAAAACAAAACAGTATAGTAATGGGTGATGATGACCTTCTATTTTCCTTTTTACACATGGGTGAGATAACAATGATTGTCAAATATTCCATGGATGATGAGGAACAATAGTTATTGGAATGATAAAGGAGTTCTGATTTCTTATTACAATTTATTAAACGATATCAATAAGGCATATGCCAAATTTGCTTTGATTTATGAAGAAATACTTTGTGGATCAGCATCTAAAAACCTGGCTCGAAATAGTATTCTGATAGATTTATGTTATATTGTGTTCATAAATGTATAATGAGTTTGCTGCATGTGTGGGCAATTTGTCAGGTTATAGGGTTTATGTAACAAGTACCGTAATCATAATGTATTACTCGTGGTACTAAATATGCACTGACTATTACTAATTTATTACTTGCCAATGATTCGCCATTTGTTACGCTTTACCATATTTACATATTACATTATAAAAGAATAAACATAAGAACTTGGTGGATACCAATAACATTATGTCTATCAAATTTTATTTCAGGATTGCATGAAACAGTATGTCATACAGGTAATTTGCCTACTTCTCTCTTCTTTGCATATTTTTTTTTGTTGCTTATGTTTTTTTTTATACATGCTTTTGTTGTTGTTGTGATGTACATTGTATGTAAATATATGAAGGTGATTGAGTGGACATGTGTTAGCATATGTTTATTGAAGAATGACGTGCGTGCATGTGTGTGTGGAAGGGGTCTTGGCACTCTGGACGAGAATAATTTCGTATCAGTAAACTCTATTTTAAAAAGTTAACTTGTTTGTTTTATCTTGGTCTTGCATGAAAGAAAACAAAATTCAACTTTTAATAAGATAACCATGCCATTAATTGATATGTGAAAAAGCCGACTTCAATTTTCAAGTGCAGCTAAGACGAAATCATAATGCCCTGAAAAGAATATCAGAAAAGCATTTAACTGTCATCATGTGCATAATTATGTTCGACTGGGCTTTAATATCTGAAAAGATCAAGGACCCAGCAAATTAGGGGCGCGTGCACTCGTGCATATCTCCCAGCGCGCATAACGGTCATACGTCGATCTGTGCATTGTTAATAGGGATGAGCGTTCTACGTATTTTAGCGTTCTGTGGGCTTTACCCGTATTCCACAATGTCAGTTAAACTTAAAGAGAAGGTTGAGTTCTGGGAAGAGGTGAAAA